CCGACCTCTAACTTATGGCCCTGCTGTGTAATGTACCTGAAGGAGACAAAGGCAGAGAGAAGCTCAAGTTGTGTTCAAAGTCAGTCTGTAATCCTGCTGAGTAGGACACCTGAAAACCCATGTACATCATTCATCAAGCTAGTTTGAAAACTAATGATCGCAGCCTTCATGAAGGTGTCTGGGAAAGAGGCAGCACTTTCTAATTTTGGAGGAGTACCATGATAAACTGCAGCAGGCTGAAATTATAATTTAATCTCCTCATCTCCTCTAAAGACTGACAGCTTCTCAGAGGCCTAAGAACAACAGTGAGATCCTTAACTCGAATATATCTAAATGAAAAATGGCAACAAACAGCGTGTTTATCTAGCAACATGAACCAAATCTCTCTTGAGGAACGTTTCTACGCTTTGCATTAATCGCACCCCACGACTTTAAAAAAATGAGTTACTCAAGCGTGGATAAATTAAAGGAGCTTTGTATTTGTGCTGTACGAAGATTATTCATGAACGTAATTAGAAAACAGATTTACATAAATCAATTGGGGCTGTAGCCACGGATAATAATGCGATACATGCATTTGTTTACATGAGACTAAACAATGACATATTGGCTGGGTAAATACGAAACAACGAATCGAGTATCTACTGGGCCGTGAGGAAAGACTGGGACAGCTGATTCAAAGGAACTGAACCTGCAGCGTGTAACGCATCTTGAAGCAAGTTTGTCAGTTTTCTTTGATTTGTTGAGGCTTCTCTGTAGCTTGCAACTGTGTTAGGATGCACTGACAGAAATAATGGAGGTTAGAGGCCTTTTATTGACACAATTTAGGAAAATTCTGATGGACAAAAGATGATCTGTTACTGGCTGAAGTAAAGCCTTTAAAGTTGGATTCATGCTTCTGCTCAGTTATATATACACATACTCTGTTTTCAGCTCTAGTTTTAATGCCACCATCCAAGTCTTTAGCTGCTGCTGCATTCTGCAGATAATCAGTCAGCTCTTTGGTACTGAAAGTTAAATTAGAGTCTTAAGACAGAGATCTTGTCTACGGAAATGAGCCACCCTCTGCTTACTACGACTGGCCAAGCTGAATCAAAACCTCAGATGTGAAACCAAACCAATGTGCTAAAATACTAAGAGAGAATTATGGCACTTGGATGATATTATTCAGGATACACCGACACAGAAAGCTCCTTTCCCAGTAAACACATACATTTACATAATTTAAGTGGTAGGCTGATGACAAAAATATTTAATGGTGCAACTTCTGAAAAATGTCAACGATGTACATATACTGCTCTAAATTAGGTCTAATATTAACTGTACTAAGAACAAATCAATAAACTCATTATACATTTTAACATGTAACTATTCTGCCTCTACCCGAGAACAGAGCACTGCATTACCTCATCGCTCTTAACCAAGCTGTAAAGCTTTGTTTCACCGGTCCTCTTCGACTCCAGGGATGTATAATGACTCGTCATGAGAATAAGAGGGAGCTGCACTATGATACATCATGTGACCAGGCCTCTTTTACCGAAACACCTGCCCCCCATCACTGTTTACCTCTCAGTGGCCTCATTCCCACTGCAGAGCTGTCTGGATATTTCTGCCTCCCAATTATTTCCCCCCAGAATATGAAGTGTAAACAGTTATTCCAGTTGAAGGGTTATTAATCATTTTTGTATTGTATGTATTTAGATATATGTTAGTGTCTGAGTATATTATTATTCACAATGATTAAATGCTGGTACTTGGCAGGAGAAACTGAAATTAGAGTTCATCGTACTTTGAAAAAGTATCAGCTTAAATTGAATTTAATCAGTTTCTTTGACATTGGCACAAAAAAGACAGACTGACAGTGATCCAAAGTGCACTCTCTGAAGCAGCCGCTTATCTCCACCCTCTGAGTTCATTACTCTGACACTTTCTCCTCCCCTCTGTCTCCTCCTCCGTTTAGCCGTCTCTCATCTTTTCATTCTCCCACTCAGGCCTTCAAGCTTTCCTTAGATAAAACCACATATCAATGACCTGAATGCTCCAGGTGCATTTCCAAACCTCAAAAATCTCTATTTGCTGAAAATGAGAATCTCTAAAGCAGGTATGCAATGTTTATCATTTCACCTTTCATACTTTTCAGGAATATATTGAATGTAACCTGTATTATTAGTGCCATCTAAGCCACTGATCCAACCACTCAACAGTACTGGGCAGCATGGTGGTGTGGTAGTTAGCGCTGTCCCCCACAGAATAACGCTTACCAGTTTTAATCTCCTGATTGGCTCAGCTTCCTACCATAGTCCAAAGAGATGCATGCTAGGTTGACTGGTGAATTTAAATTGGCTGTGGGTGTGAGCTGTAAGAATGCACAGCATCAGTGAAGAGTTAAAAAGAAATGTGACTTCAGTACAATGTTCTATAAGTGCAGGTACATCAAATAGCTGGGCATAATGTGTTACACTGTAACTACTTAAAGTACTAAACACTACTTTAATCTAATGAGTTCATTCTGAAAATCAATCATTTAGTTTAGTTTTGTTTTTGTGATCTTGGAGTTTTTTTTCCTAATAAGCAATCCATTTCTGTTAAATATTGTATTATATTAGCCGTTTCATTTTGTTTTCAATAAAACAAATTTTAAAAAAATTCCCTAATGTGCTAGCAGTGTTTCTGTCTCTGGCCCTTTCCTCACAGCTGCTTACTAGCAAAGAAGATCCCCTTGACACTCAAAGTATTCACATTGTGTGTATATGGATAATAATACTTCATAGCTCGACTTCAGAGTACTGTCACGTTTGGTAACACAAAAGTGCTCCAACAAGTTGCTTTTGTCACGTATCACTGTGAAGTAACAGACTAATGTTAATGGCAGTAATCTTGTAAGGAGACGTGTTACTTCTAAAGGCTAACGTATAAAAATACTGTCCAGAAAATTAACTTTTTAAAAAGATGTTCTTCAAGCCTGCAATAAACACTTTTTTCTTAGCATCAAGGAGACAATATTGCTTAAATGTAGTATTTTTTTTATTACACAAAATGCCATCTAAAATATTTCCCCTTTTTTTGGCGGCCACCCCCAAAAAAGGACAAAAATAAACAAAACTTGCTGTGAAGCCTCCAAAACTGAAGGATCTGCTTGGTAGCTCTCTGTGCTAAGTCTTACTATTCTTATTATAAAACTATTTAACTACGATTGTTCTAAACATACTTGTCTGTGAGATTGTGTGATTTCTAACTGTGTGAAATCCTGCTAAACAAAAAGAGTCTTGCTTTCCCTTAAAATCAAAATTTTCTATCTAATCTCATCCACAAAATGTGCCAAATAAACAAGTTTTGGATTGATTGACGGATTGAGGCGGAAGATTTTTCTGTGTTTTCTGCCCTAGTTCCTCCAACCTAGCGGGTCTTGAATGCATGCTGACATGTAGGAAAGTCTGTAAGTGCTGAGAGATGAAAGGCGGCGACAAGTGGGTTTGGGGTTGACGCCGGATTGTTTTGCTGCTTTGCTGTTTGTTTTGTTTTGCCCTGATTCTCCTCAGAAATGCTAATGAAAGGGTCTGGAAGCTGATTTGGCAGCAAACTGATGGATTAGCATAACAATAGCAGTCAAAGGAAACACACACACAGACACGCCTACACGCCGATGAACATTTCTACGTATGTGCACACATGAACTCACTCACGTGCATGCGCAACCCTCCAGTCACACTTGCATCCACCCACACAGACACACAGTTATACTCTTGCCAGGTAGATAGTGTTAAAATGTAAGAGAAGAGCAGTGTTGGGGGCATGAAAAGGTCAGAGAACTGAAGTAGCCTGCAGACAGAGAGACAGAACGTGTGTGTGTATGTGTGTGTGTGTCAGAGAGAGAGAGAAAGAGAGAGTGTGTGAGAGACAACAACTGCATGGCTCCTTGGGGAAGAGAAGAGCAGGGATTTCTGTCTGAGTGTCTTGAGTGTGTCCAGCTGATGGTGTCATTGTGTGTGAGTGCCAACAGGAGCCTGGTAATTATCAGCAGTACTCAGACGCTCAGACACTCAGACACTCATACGCACGCACGCACGCGCTCGCACGCGCTCGCACACACACACACACACACACACACACACACACACACACACACACACACACACAC